GTCTGAACATTAGGCAACAGTGAAAGAGCAATAAACAAGAAAACTAGCAGCTGAATGGCCGCATTGCCCGCGGAAATTGTTGAAAAAAATAGGCGGTTTTTCATTTTTTACAAGAGCATTTATTGGTAAAGTAGGGGCTGATTTTTAACTATTAGTATTGAGCTTCCTTTTAGGCAAGCAAGTTTTTACAGCAGTCGAACTCAACTGCGCACTTTTATCATTTTAAATTGCAACTCAACTTTTTTTCATTTTTTAAAACTACAACAAAAATTACGTGCTTGCTAAAGGGTACACTTTGTTAGTGTTGTAGTAAAAATTAAGTACTGCTTTTGTTTTGACATTTTTGACATGAACTGCTAAACAAAGTTTGCCTACATACCTCTACCGAGCGCTGACGGCCACCTCAAATGGCCGCGCATTGAGCATCGGAATGCCAATGATAAAGTCCAGCTTGGCGGGCGTTGAGGCAGTTTTACTAAAGCAAAACTTTCGAATCAATCTAGCAAGGACCAACTTCATCTCCTGCAGAGCAAATTTTTGCCCAATGCAACCTCTATTACCCTGACCGAACGGCAGGTAGGCGTAGGGCACCAAAAGATGGGCATTTTCCGGCATCCACCGCTCAGGGTCAAAGGTGAACGGGCGTGGCCAGAACTTGGGGTTGAAGTGAAGTGCACTGGGTGGAATCTCCACCAGAGTTCCCTTCTCCAAAATCAGCCCCTCCTTCAGTTGATAATCATCAACGCCCACTCGACGTTCCAGTCGTACAACAGTGCTGTACATTCGGGTGGTCTCCTTGAGGACTGCTTCTAGGTAAGGGCAACTGTTGAGAATTGAATCGGTGGTGATGCTTTCATCTTTGACCTCCTCATAAAGCTTCTCCTGAACGCCGCTGTTGTTTACCAGCTCAAAAACGGCAAAAGTGAGCGATGCTGAGCTGGTCTCAAAACCGGCGGCTAGAAAGAGGATAAGCTGAGCGACAACCTCATCATCGGTTAAAATTCTTGAAGAAGTTTTGTTGGAGTTTGGCGAAAACTCAGGATTGTTTTCAACACTTTCATTCTCTTCAACAGTAGCGTCCATCAGCAGTTGAACAAGGTCGGCCCGTTTTGCTGAGCCATCTTCAACCTTTGCCACCATCTCCTCCTTTCTCGCCCTCACAACAGCCCGCGCAAAGTGAACAAAGTAATCAAAAGTGTCGTCCCTAAAGGGCTGTCGAATGTTTAGCAAGTCAAGGACCGGTCGTGGCAGCGCCAAAATGGTGACAATCTTGAGCGGATTCAAGTTGAAAAAGCGCTTTCCGTTTTCCACCAGCGCCGCATTTGTTGTCATTTTGCCATTTTTAGCATTTTTCTTCTCTTTATTTGCATTAGTTTCTGTGGCGAAAGCAGCCCGACAAATCACATCAATGGTGTAGCCGGCAAAAATCTCTTTTGCGCTGAAGGTGGCCAAACTTTTTGGCCCCGAAGCTTCAATGAGCAGTTCAAAATGTTCCACCAGCTGCCGTACACAGTCTTCCATCAACGGGACCATTGTTTTCAGCTTGTGGAAGCTAAAGGCAGGACTCGTAATCGCTCGAAGTCGTCTCCAGGCCGCACCCTCTGCCATAAACAGATTTTCATTCCACAGAGGGTGATAGGAGTTCATTGAACGACGATCGACGAAACATCGAAAGTCTGTCACAAGAATTTGCTTGACCAGAACTGGATCAGTGACTGTCAGCGTCGGCTGAAGGCCCATGTACAAACCGTAAACCGGCCCGTATGTGGTAGCCCATCGAACTTCCAGTTCCTGAGGAGTGTTGATCGCCTTTGAGAAGAGGTTCCCAAAAGGGAAAAATGGCCGAGGGCCGGGAACGCCCCGAGAAAACCAGTAGTTGTAGTATCGGCGGTGAGCTGCGTAGCTGTGGAAAATAAACAACAAAAACAATTTTTTTATTAATAAACAATCATCTGTTTATGACAAACTGACTTACAAGAGAATGGCAATGAGAAGGAAGATCAAGGTGACGGTGAGTAGAGAGCACATGGTTTTGATGATGAACTGATAATGGCTTTGAGTTTTGCCAGTGAGATTAAACTGCAATTTGAATGCAATTGATGAGTAGGAAAAATGTGTGTTACGCTGTTCTGAAACATTGTTGTGTTTGCTTCTTTTTTAATTTTTTAAAGAAAAAGTTGTTACTAAGGAAACGGAATTGTGTAAAACTAAAAAATCGATTAAAGTTTTTTTCACATGTTTTACTTTTGTCAGTATATACTTTAAAAATGTAAAACAATAACACAGATATTTTTAGTGAAGCAAAATTTGATCTTAATAAGGCAAAATGTTTTGTCTTGCAAAACCACCCACTTTTTTGCCGGTGGGTCAACGCGCGCATCAGTTATCTGTACTAAGGTAAAGATGAGATGTTTTAAGCAAGGCAAAGGAAGAATAGAATTTCAAGAGACCTAGTCGAATCTTGCAAGATCGTCTATGAAAAGGTCAACTTTTGACTAGTAAGTGTTGAGAGTAAAAACAAACTAGTTTATGTTATAATAATAAAATAAACAACCTCCACTATCCTCGCCCTTTCGCCCTTTTTTGCAGTTTTTGTTGTTTTGTCCGAATGCTGCCAAAATGTTTTACATTTTTAAATTTTTGAGTTTATAAAAACCTGGATGATTGCATGCTTTTCAACATCAAAATAATTATATTTAATGTCGCAGTTTAAAGTTGCAAAAAACTACTGGTACTTAAAAATGGTATAAAGTAGTTAACTTAACTAATAAAAGATTACTCTTTAGCTCTCAAGCTGGTTTTACACTATAAAACAATGATAACACTGGCCAGGCGATCGCGAGGTACCAGAACCAAATCACTTTTATTCAATCCAGTATATTTATTGTTATTTTTGTGCTAAACAAAAAATTTTTTAGTTTGAGAATTAGCAAAGATATGAAATATTTTATTTGTTATGGCAAAAAAACTGCTGGCCGCTACTCCATGAAAATCTCCATAGATGACAGAGTTAAAAAAATCAATTATCTTTGCTAATTCCCAAACTAAAAAATTTTTATTTGGCACAAAAATAGCAATAAATATACTGGATTGAATAAAAGTGATTTGGTTCTGGTACCTCACGATCGCCCTGCCAGTGTAATAGCATTGGCAAATCTAGTACTTATCATAAAACGCAATTTTTTGATTGATTTTCTGCGCAAAACTGAAAATTAATATTAAATTCAAAAAATAGAAAAGTACATTGTAAATATATCACCGGGCGTCAGCCCGGTGCAAAGTTCCTGTTACACGCGAGATTTTTGGCATGGATATTCAGGAAATATAGTTGGATTTTTTGTGCTAAGTAGCAACCCTNGACATTTTGTCAAAAGAGACATTTTGCCGAAACTTAAAGTAATGAAAAAATAATTTGGCAACTTGTTTTTTCGGAGAAATGTCTTTGAAAAAACAAATTTTGCATTACAAATTAATTTTGTTTAAAATTGCATTTAATTAAGAAAAACCAATTACTGAGGGTTACTACTTAGCACAAAAAATCCAACTATATTTTCTGAATATCCATGCCAAAAATCTCGCGTGTAACAGGAACTTTGCACCGGGCTGACGCCCGGTGTATTTGCTCATTTCATGTTGGTACTAAAAATGACTTTTTTATTGTTTGCTTATTTTATTTGATTTGTTTTCTCACTTGCTAAACAATCGAGCTTTGTTTATTAGCAAAAACGTCAAAAGGTGGCACAGTGATTGAGATAAAAAATATTTTTTTGCATTTTTTGCATTGTTTTTTATCCTTCCGTTGATATCAATGCAGTTATCGCTATCAGCTGATAAGTTTTTGGTAGATAAGAAAAAGAAGTAGAAGAAGAAAGTAATATTTGTCTTTTTTGACCTGTCTTTTCTATTTACTGTTTCTCAACTTTTGTTTTGTTTTGAAACTGTTAAACTTTTTGAAGTTTTAGAACAACACCACAAAAAGATGTTAACCAATAAAAGTCCTCACC